TGGGTGTAGTTTGCTTATTTAAGCATAGAATGTCACTCTGTCATTTCACACTTCTCCACCATCCTCTCTGTTGATTACACTTTGTCTGAGACACATGAAACAATTAGTTATTGATAGAGTTTAAGGTTTATGCATGGGGGAAAAAACAGGAAAATTTACACATTAGGAAATGCTACTGTCTCAGCCAAAAAAAAAGAAAGTTGCAAAATCATATGAGAATATTCATCCTGGAAATATTAGTCCTGGGAATCTATTGAGTATTTAGAGAAAATGTAAGAAGGACAGCCTCGTATCTCTACTAGCAGTGTAAATACAGAGTATCAGTGCTCAGTCTGAGCTAGAGAGAGTGGTCATCCTAAAATAGTGGGCATGCAACGGGGTTTTGCTTGATAGGATAAGTCCACATCCTGGAGACAAAGGGGACAGACAGGAACCTGAGCCAGTTGTGCTGAGGTTTCTTTCATACTTAGGATTGCACATAAGGTGTAAAGGGATTGCCAAGCTGAAGACTGGGTAAATCTTGAAGGGCATTAATTCTGCTGGCAAGCCAAGAGGTGGTCCAGGCTGATGCCGATGCAGCAACTCCACAGGAAGGTGGCTCTTGGCAGGATGAACCCTGAGGATGTGGGACACAAATCCCTCTGCCTCCTCAGCCCTGTGGCCTCTCTCCATCCCCCTTGTCATGCACTGGCCTTTTTGTCCCTTGCACAGCCACGGTAGCTGGCTCACACCCCGGGGAGCTGGCATACAAGCGACACCATGCTAGTAATGACGACGATGTAAGTGCTTGGCTTCCCATCTGCCAGCCCTGCAAACCTCCCAGGGATAGAAGACGCAAGCTCAAGCCTACCCTGCTTCTATTACCTGCCTGCAATTTTAGGCTGCTCTAATTTGCCAGCATCATGTTAAGTGGGCACCGCACAGCTCACAAAATTAGGGATGCACAGGTGAGTGCACAGCATCTCTAGCAGATCCCTTCCCTGGACTGACTAGCCAGCAGTAACTCCTGGAGAGGTCCAAGGGAGTCTGGAGCACTGGCTGGGAGATAGAGACTAGGACACAGCCCCTCTGCATTTGCAGTATCACCTTCCTTTTTCCCCAGGCGACATGATCAGATATAACTATAATTATAGGTATGTTGTCATCTGAGCTGTTTGTCAGGAGAGTTTTGTATTAACTGTGAATTGCCTGGACTGCAGCAATGTCAGCCTGAATCCTGCTTGCTGTTATCGCTCTCACATGCCAGCGGTATTTTTAGCATTTATGATTACAAAAATCTCATGTTTGAGCAAGATCTGAGACAAGATTTTAAGACCCTATTTGTCTAATAGTCTCCCTGGGATGTATTACCGCATGCAAAACCGCGTGGGATGAGGTTATAAAAAGTGGTCTTTCTGATCAGAAGATGCTCTGGTTCCTGAGTGCAGGGCTGTGAACCGAGGCACAGCTATTGCCAGGCAGAGGATCACTGATGTCACTATTTAATAAAGTGACAGTTGTCCTTCACATGAGACGAATCCTGCACCTACTGACGTGCAGAATGTAACTCCCTCGACTGGAGCGCTGCAGGAATAGACCCCTGGGGAGCAGTTAATGTCTGTGGGGACCTGAGTGTCCCCTCCAAGTCCCAAACTAGAGGAGACCCTGCGAGGCAAAGGTCCTCCCGGGTGTATGTACTAGTAGGTCAACTGCTTTGCTGGTTTATTCCCCCATGGGATGAGAGAGAATAATTGGGGCTACAATTAGCAACAGAAATACGTGTGCTTCTGAGGAAGAAAAGACATCACCGTGATGAACACTTTAAATCTGGATAATCACTGGAAATTCTGACTCAGTCTGCCAGTTTGGGGTTTGGGTAAGAATTTTCCTGGGGCAGGGTAAATTCATACCCTACAGGTAAGAAGGGCAAGCCCCGTCCCCTCATATTGCCCTTTTTATTGATTCAGTAAGTGCTGAAGTGCATCCCCTTGCTCACATGGAGATGTTTGCAGATGCTGGACTGCAGCATTTCGTTAAAGATGCTAAGAATGGTCCTTACAGAGGTGGTTTTTTCCCAATCTTAACAATTTTGCAATGCTTCAAGCCCCTGATTACTTAGATCAGATGAGGAGCATAAAAACACACAGTTCGAATGCACCCAAAATCCAGAAAATAAAAGTTTGAAAAATCACTAGATCAAAAAATTACAACAAGTCTTTTTAGGTCAAAATTGTGGCCTTTTTTCTGTTGTTCACAAATATGATGGAATCTGGGCCTGAGGTCAATGCTCATGTCATTAATGTGACTGCAGACTGGCTGTCACAGTGATGCCAGAATCTGATGTTGGATCTGATTCACATTTACAGAGGGTCTCATCGTGGCAGAATTTAAACTATGTGTTAAATGACTTTAATGAATTTTTAGAGTGCTGGAGAGGTGCAAAGGAACTTGAGTTCGTTTGGCATCTAGCAAGCACAAACGAGATTACACACAAATATCTCCCAATTTCCATGCCACGAAA